GTTCTTTCTCCACTTCAGGTACGAGGGTCGGTGTAAAATCGGCCACGAAGTCAGCTAGGATTTGAGACTTGATGGTCGTTCGGGGTTGATATTGGATATCGTACTCGCTAAGTTCGATGGCCCTCTTGGCCAATCGGCCCAATAGCTTGGGCTTATGCAAAATATTTTGAAGGGGGTAGGTGGTTAGTACACACATAGGATGACATTAAAAATATGGTTTTAACTTTCGAGATGATCTTATCAATGCAAGTGCTAATTTTTCTAAGTAAGGGTACCTAGTTTCAGCATCTTCTAGAGTTTGATTTACGTAATAAACAAGGAATTGCGTACCTTGCTCTTCTCGAACTAGTACCCCACTTATCGCTATCTCGAACACTTCCAAATATAGGTAAAGTTTTTCATCTACCTTCGGGGTGTGAAGCAAAGGCGGGCTCGACAGATATCACTTTAATTTTTCTAAGGCTTGCTGACATTTCGGCGTCCATGCGAAATCCTTTTTCTTTTTGAGCAAGGAAAAGAGCCGGTGACTCTGATTCGATGACCTTGAAATGAATCGACCCAAGGCAGCTATTCGCCCTATCAGCCTTTGCACAGCATTCACACTATCTACGATCGTGATATCCTCGATAACTTTGATCTTATCGGGGTTGATTTCAATACCTCGATTTGACACCATGAAGCTGAGGAACTTACCCGAGCCAACTCTGAAGGCGCATTTCTCCAGGTTAAGCTTCATGTTGTATTTCCTCAAAATTGCAAATGTTTCCTGCAAATGAACTAAATGGTCCTATGCGCGCAGGGACTTAACCAACATATCATCAATATAAACTTCCATAGTTTTACCTATTTGTTCTTCGAACATTTTGTTAACTAGGCGTTGATATGTAGCTTCTGCATTTTTTAGCCCAAAAGGCATTACGTTGTAACAATAAGTTCCAAAATTAGTAATAAACGAAGCCTTTTCCTTGTCCTCCGGGTTCATCTGAATCTGATTGTACCCGGAGTAGGCATCAAGATAAGCTAGGGTCTCGTGGCCAGTCGTGGCGTCGATCATACGATCGATGTTGGGTATTGGAAAAGAATCTTTTGGACATGACTTGTTCAAGTCCTTATAGTCTACACACATTCTAAGTTTGTTTCCTTTTTTAGGAACAACAACTACATTGGCTAACCACTCGGGGTATTTTACCTCCCGTATAGACCCTATTTTAAGAAGTTTGGTTACCTCGTCCTTTATGAAAGCATGCTTGACCTCGGATTGAGGCCTCTTTTTTTGCTTCACCGATTTGAACCTGGGATCGGTGCTTAGCCGATGTGTGGTGATTTCTGGTGGAATCCCTATCATATCTAAGTGGGACCAACCAATCCATATTATTAATAAAAAATTGAATGAGCTTTTTCCTGAGTTCGGGGGTTAATCCCGTTCTTAGGTATACCTTTCTCTCGGGCATGCACTCGATCAAAATGACCTACTCCAGCTCCTCGATAGTTGATTTGGTTGCATCAGATTCTTCGGGAACGACGAAGGTTCGAGGAGTAAGGAAATCCTCATCTTCGTCTTCAATTACCTGTTGCTATGACTCCATCGAGGCTGGAGGCAATGATTGCTATTTGGCCGCCTGCTTATCTTTAATGCTTGATTTCTCCGAGGTCGAAGTCCTTGAAGTCGGCACCACTTCCTCGATTGCAAACATATCCTTTGTAGCATGTTGCTCCCCGTAGACTGTTTTTACTCCTTCCTCTGTTGGGAACTTCATCATCTGATGAAGAGTTGAAGGCACTGCCCTCATATTGTGTATCCACGATCTCCCGAGGAGTGCGTTATACCTCATATGACCCTCGATGACATGGAACTTCATACCTTGTATGGTCCCGGCTATGTTTACTGGCAAGATAATTTCTTCCTTTGTTGTTTCGCTTGCCATGTTGAAGCCATTCAGGACCCGGGATGCAGGTACAATCTGATCTTGTAGGCCGAGTTATTCCATGACTCTCGATCTGATTATGTTTGCTGAGCTACCTGGATCCATTAAAATACGTTTAACTTGAATTTTATTCAAAAGGATGAGATTACCAGGGCGTCGTTGTGAGGTTGAGATATGCCTTCTGCTTCCACGTCATAGAATGATAAGATGTCCTCGGGAACATAGCTCCGAGTCCATTTTTCTCTAGTGATTGAAACTTTGGTGCGCTTGAACACAGGTCGTTGAGGGACATCGACTCCGCCAATGATCATGTGGATTACATGTTGTGGTTCTTCTTGTTCATTTTTCTTTGTATCTCTCTCCCTGAAGTGATTCTTAGCCCGATCACTTATGAATTCTCGAAGGTGGCCCTCATTGAACAAACGATCCACTTCTTCCCTTAGCTGTCTGTGATCTTCTGTTCGATGACCATATGTGCCATGATACTTGCACATCAAGTCGGGTTTCTTTGAGAAGGATCGGTCTGTATAGGCCTGGGCCACTTGGTGTCTTTGATTCTCCCAATAGCTGAGCCAATCCCTGATGCATCTATGGTGAAGTTGTACTCTGATAATCGGGGAGACTCTGCGGGGTCGGTATGTTTATCGAACCCGCTCTTACTCATGAGTCCCCGAGAACTTTGACCTCGATCGTTTCTCCGATCGCTCCGAGGAGCGTTACGGCTCGGGTCGTTGTTCCTTCGATCGGCATATGGTTGATATTGTTCTTTGTTGAATCTTGATTCCCGGTCTGTATCCCTCGGGAGCTTGGCTACGAATCTGTTAGGATGAACTAAACCCGAGGGGGCTCCCAACTGGTCATCTTCGATCCTAATTTTTGACTGGTAACGATTGTGCACATCCGACCATGTCACAGCTGGATATTCGATCAAGTTTTGCTTTAATTGTTGAGATGCAATCGAGCTCTTTTCATTCAAACCCTGCATGAAAGCTTGTACTGCCCAGTCACCGAAACCGGTGGTAACTCCATTCGTTCTATCTGGAACCTAGATACGAATTCCCTTAATATCTCATCATTCCTCTATTTTATCTTAAAGACGTCTAATTTTCTCGTGGCCACTTTTATGGCTCCGGCGTGCGCTTTCACAAAGGCATCTGCTAACATAGCAAACGAATCAATAAAGTTAGGGGCTAAGTTATGGTACCAAATCATAGCGCCTTTCGACAGCGTTTCTCCAAACTTTTTCAACAAGACCGATTCGATCTCATCATCATTCAAGTCATTTCCTTTGATCCCACAAGTGTATGAAGTAATATGCTCGTTAGGGTCGGTTGTCCCGTTATACTTGGGTATATCAGGCATGCGAAACTTCTTAGGAATGGGCATCGGAGCCACACTTGGAGGGGAATAGTTTATGTATGAACTTTTTGGCGTCTAAACCTTTCAAAACTGGAGGTGCCCCCGGTATTTGGTCAACACGGGAGTTGTAAGTTTCCACCTTCTTATTGTTGCCTTCAATTTTCTTTTTCCCGGACTAGATCCTCTTAGTAAGCTCTTCGAGCATCCTCATAATCGTGGGGTTAGTCCCCGAGCCACTTTTACTGGGCCTTTCTAGCGCTGGCTCAACACGCCGAGAGTTTACTGGTTCGGCTGTGTTTGGAGTTTTATTCTGACTTTGAAGCTGAGCGATGACGATTTGCTGAGCTTGCAACATCTCGAATATCATTTGGAGGTTGACTCCCCCTTCTTCCATTCCTTGTGTTCTTTGGCCACCGAGCCGGACTTCCCTGCGTATATCTCCTTCGGGGTCCGCGCCTAGATCTGCATTCAAAGCAATGTGTGAACTAACATCAACAGGTTCCACATTTGGCACTTCCCCTGGGTTTATCGGTGGTACATCGACTCCTGCGTTGCTATTTTCTCCAAGACCTTTGTTGTCACGAATGGGTGCGTTTTGTGAGCTAGACATGTTTCAGCCTGAGAATCAAAAAATCTTGACAAGAAAAAGTGTAAAAGCAACGTGTGTAATGAAAATCAGTAAAGAAATAATCACTATTATCTTTAGCCCCACGGTGGGCGCCAAACTGTTTACCTCGAAAATATGAGTCACAATTAAATTTGATTAGTGGTTTTAAATATATGTGATTTAGTTCAATAACAATTAATAATCAAGAAATATGAAGTAGAAATGAAAGATAGAAGTGAATCAAACCAATGTTACTTAGCAGCAGTGACCTCGAGTTTGGTGACCTCGAGGTGGCTTAGGGCAGTAAGAACAATTAAGTAGGAAAAGCAAAGTAAGAATAATAAAGCTGAAGGACAATTATGATGACACTATGCAAAAAAGTAGAATATATATTCTTTGTTCAATGATTAGATGATTTTACAAATAATTGTGGTCCCCTTTATATAATAGGGGAACCCTAAATAAATAATATTTCTATTTACAGTAAGGAATATTCTTGGTACAGCTCTCTAACCGCCTAGTACGGAATCGTACAATCATATTCCGGGATTTACGCCATGACTTAGGGGACGTGGCAGGAATCAAACTCGTTCTGGTACAAATCCATAACCGTACTATTTCGGGATCGAGCACACTCGACCTCGATATGCATCGTACTTCGCCTTCGAACTCGGGTCTGGTCCCTCGAGTTCAAACTTGATCTTGCCCGGACTCGGACTTAGGACGGGCCCTCGAGCCTATAAGTCGGAGGCATACGATTTTGACCGTATACAACAACAATTTCACCATCTCCTCAAATTGTAAGAAGAAAGTTAAAAAGGTAAAGCTAGACGCCATAATCAGATTATCAAATTACTTAAATTTACATTATCATATTTTTAAAATTAAGTAATCAGGTGAAAATTTTTGGATTATCTTTATGAGTAATTTTTATCATTATCAAATTACCTAACTTCTAAACTTAGTGGGTAAACTGAAAAACGAAATAAGCAAGATGCTCTAATATCATTACTCTGTTAAATCTAAGTTACCAGGGTAATTTTTTACCAATTACGTTACTCCATAGAGTAAATTTTTTGTTTATTTTTCCGTGCAAGTTTCCCAGCTGAATCCAAAGATAGTCATCGGCCATTGAATGACAGATCAGAAGGGAATAATTCCATTTCACACATAGCATCATTCCCTCGTCAAAATCTTCTCCTACTTTTATCTTCTGTTCAATAAAACCTGTTTACTTCAACAAATCCAATCTTCTTTCTCAAACCCTAAATCAAACCCTCAATCCATAGCAAAAAGCAAGAATCTCGACAATTTCGAAGAAAATGGCAAAAACAGATGAAATTCACACCATTTCCTTATCATTCACTGATTTCCCAGAAGATGTGCAGCTCTGTATCCTCTCTTTTCTCACTCCTTTAGATATCTCTAATTTCGCCTGCACTTCAAAGCGCTTCGTCTCTCTTTGCCGTGATGACCCAAGACTCTGGTTTCCCATGTGTCACCGCAAATGGGGATCCAAAACCCATATTAACAAATGGGTTAATAACGGTAAATTCTCATATAAGCTTCTTTACAATACCCTTTTAGAGTACGAGAATCTCATTGGCTTCTGGCGCCTCAGTGGTGCTGATTCTGATACTGATTCCCCTTTAATCTTTTTTGAGTGGGGTCCATTTTATATAGCTGGTTCAAGGGTCAAACCCGCAAGAAATTGTACTTATGGAGTGATAAAGTCGCCATTTTTATGGATGGGTTTTAACTCTAAGGGTGAAGTTGTCAATTATCTTGATCCTGAAGGGAGGGTTGAATTATCAGAAAATGTGATGAATTTAGATGATTTGGGTTTTGGGGATAGTGAATTGATTCAGGTGAATGTGAATTTCATGGGAAAAACTCATGTTGTTCTGGAAGAAAATTGTGGCAGTGCATTTGGGTATTCTTGTAATTCTCCACAGAATAGAGGAGGATTCAGGAAAGTTTCAAGCTCAGGGAACATGAGGGAAGAGGAGTACGGGGATTTATGCGGGTCCCCCGGGAGCTTGCCGGACAGGTTAATGTCCGAGATTTATCAGTATTTTGCGAACAAGACAAGTCCTGGTGGGAATGGGTCGTCGAGGAGGCAGAGAAGGAGGGAGAGGGAAAGGCAAGGGAGAAAGAAGTGGGAGCCTGAACATTATGTGAAAATAGTGAATTGTTCGCCTACTCCAGCCAGGCCTTTGCAGGGCTTGTGGAAGGTCTTGTTCCCGCTTCTTTCTGTTTATATATTATGGCAAAACTTGATTTTAATCAGCTGTTTTGTTTTTTCTCGAAATTAAGATTTGGCCTTTGGTTGGTTCTTAAAGACTTGCATAAGTAAAAAGCATCAAACTTTATAGAGATAACTAGCTAGCAGGTTAAGGTGTAACCAAAGGCTAACGAAGTATAAGTAAAAGTAAGTAAAGAGGAAAACTTTGTAGTATTGACTAGGTAGAGCCTTGATTTATCATAAGATTTAATTGCTTGTGTTTGTAATCCGGGTAATATTCAGGTCTTTGTTCTGGTGTCGAATTGATAATAAAGTATTAATCTTCAGTGAAGTGTAAGAGCAAGGTTGTACGGCACTAAAACCAAAAGCACAATGAATATTAGCGTTTAAAAGCCAAGTCACCGGTCTAGGCTAACTGTCTTCAAACCCCCCTAAGCTTTGGTAAACTAGCTCTAGCTCTACAACATTATGATGCCACTAACCATTAAGATTTCTGACTTGTTTTACCAGAACTCTTATTGTTTTCTGATTTTGGGATAATGACCTGAAGGTATGGTGATTATTCCTTTCAGTAAGAAGAACCATTTGACTGTGTTACTAATGATGCCCTTTACCATAAGCAATCCAGGTACCCCGTACTGAAACCTGAAGGGTAACTTCTGCTTTCGAAATCCCAAGTGATTTAAGTAATAATTTCCCAACCAATACGTATATCCGGACTTGTACATTTGAATTAAATGCTGGTTTTGCTTGAAGGCTTAAGTGTCCTACTGTTTGCACAGAGGAATTTTACAGCTGTAGGTGTTTCTGCTGTATCCCTTCGTGTCCTTACCATGAAGATATAGGTTTTACTAATTCTTTCAAATCAAGGTTTAACTTCAATATATTAATTTTTCTATGGATCTGTAAGATTCCTTCAGCAGTCATGCTCGATGAGTCTTAATCTAACTTTTCGTTGGGCGCTAGTTTATTTATAGTGTATGCTATTACATCATCCGGTCATCCTCATTGGTAACATCCATTGACTTATGATGAACTGCATGAATCTCAGAGTATTTGGTTTGCCAGTTTGTATATTCGGTGTACTTCCCTCTTGCTGAATGGTAGCATCTGGCCATGCTTAACTGCCAAAAGACTGCTTATCTGATGTTTTGGTTTTACTTTTCACTGCAGGGATTCTGTGATGACATGACTTTGGATTTCTTCCTTGTCTCATATGATGATGTTGGTGGTATCACTTGCAGAAGGGTTGTGGAATTATGTAAACCTTTCTCTGCCTATGCCCCAGTATTTTGGACTTCAAATACCACATTCATTGAGTCGCCTTTATCTTCAGAAGAAGAAAACATATATGAGAGTCGCATACATATTCAGCCCCTTGCTGAAGCTGGTGACCCATGTGAGATTCTGCCTAGTTCTGATAAGGGAGTTGTTTTGCGCATGCTTTGCATGAACTCAAGCTACGACTTGGTTATTCCTGATTTGGCAGGAAGC